AGATGAGAAATCCAAGCATTTTAGCTCACAGAGAAAGGTCATTGTCTTTAAATATCCCACCCAGGAAAAAAAAATGTCTCTTTTCTCTTATCCCAGGGGCAGAACCAATGGCCTTTGCAGCGGCTTCTACCTGAAACCTGCTTGGAAACAAAAACCCGTGGGTTTCTGCTGGGAGGAATGTTTTAGACTTGAAGGTATAGCAATTTCCCAAAAAGAAACCCTGAGTTAGTGAGTTGGCCCTCCTGTCCGTGGCCTGGAGTCCCGCCAGCCTTGAGGCTTATTTGCTCTTTGACAGATTTTGGGCCAGTTACTTGACAGACCAGCTAAGAACCTCAGTTTCCCCACCTGTAAACTAGTCCTAAGCCATGCATCCCTTAGCTCCCCAGGGGTGAAAATGGGTTGGGGGAGGACAGAAAAATGACTCCCTGCTCTTTGACAGATTTTGGGCCAGTTACTTGACAGACCAGCTAAGAACCTCAGTTTCCCCAACTGTAAACTAGTCCTAAGCCATTTATCCCTTAGCTCCCCAGGGGTGAAAATGGGTTGGGGGAGGACAGAAAAATGACTCCCTTTATGTATAGTATAAAGCACAGTATGCAACAGCACGCAATCTGATACATGGACTATCTGTGGTGTTAAAATTTCTTGGGGGATGGGATGACTAGAGAAAAAAATGTCTAAAAAGTCTTAGAGGGGTGTTAGAGGTTGAACTGTGTTCCCCAAAACCTATGTTGAAATCCTAACCCTGGAACCAGTGAATGTGACCCTATCTGGACATAGGGTCTTTGCAGATATCATCAAGTTCACCTGAGGTTGTTAGGGTGGGCCTCATCGCACAGCCTGAACAAGATGCCACGTGAAGGCAGACACACAGGGAGACCACCAAGTGACATGGAGGCAGACTGGAGAGATGCAGTGACATGCCAAGGGGCACCTGGGACCGCCCGTGACAGCCAGAGCCTGTCCCTGCCCACCCCTCAATTTTGACTTCTGGCTCACAGGACTACAGTTCAGTAAGTTTCTGTTGTTTGAATCCACCCAGTTGGTGGTGCTTTATTTCGGCAACCCCCAGAAACTAACACAGGCAACAGTGGGAAAAAAGGCGGAGAACCCCCGGCCTCACTTTTAGCGCCGTCCAGCATAGACGAGGTAAACACAAGGTGCTCTGCACAGGCTGGTATACAGGAAGCGCTTCACCCACGCCAGCCATTATTCACAGTGTTTTATGCTAAACAGTAAACTCTAACATCCTAAGCCAGGCCCCTTCAAAGGGGAAAATCCTAACATGTAATGGAAAGAGGGTTCTGGAACCCATGTCCTCTCTAGGCTGCATGGGGGGGTGGTGGTGGCAGGAACAGAGTGGGGACTGGATGTCAGGGCATCACTCCTCCTGGACAGTCAGGCCAAGCTGTCCCTTCCCCTCTGGCGGTGGGGCTTGCTGAGTGGGCTAATCAGCACTATTTTAAGGGGGAAATTAGTTCCACTCAGTATTGCTGACTTTACAGAGAACTTTCTCCTGGGGTGGGAAAGAAAAGGATACAGTGTAATAACTTCGTCAGGTTCTCGTGCTGGGAAACCCACCTCATTTGCCCTTATGGGGACTTGTTAAAGAGTCGGTAACCCTTCTCCCCACCCACCCGCCCAGCACTGGCTTCCAGAAGGCAGAGGGGGTGGAGGTCCGGGTCCTGTGCTGGAGGGAGAGACAGGTGAACAGAGGGACATGGGACGGTGCAGAGAGCCAGGATGAGAGCCAGCGAGAGCACAGACAGACAGAAGCGGGCACAGGTCAGGGGGATGGGCACAGGACAGGGGACAGGCTGGGAGGTAGCGAGGGGTCAGATCACGTGGGATGAGTGCAATTTGTGCTTCAATCAAGCTGAGTTGGGTTTTATCTTGACCTTGATGGAGAGGAATCTGGTCAGACCCATGCCAGAGACAAATCACCTGGGCAGCAGGCAGTGTGGACAGTGGACCGGGGCAGGGGGGAGCCATGGCTCTGGCTGTAGAGGAGGGGTCAGGCCAGGCTGGCCATGGGAGTGGACACAGGTGCTGACAGGGACACCTTTGCTCCCTCCTCTTAACCTCGCCCACCCCGCCCCTCTTCTCACTTTCTGTGTCCTCTCTCTCCTTCCTCCCTTCCCTGGCGCCTGCATTCCCGGCCAGTCCTTCGGTGAATCTGTCCCCGAAGCACAGACAGAGCGTAGCAGGCCCACCCACCGACCCCTGTGCCGCCTCCACTCCTGTGAGCGCAGGGTCTCTTGGCTGAGCCCTGGAACCGATCAGATGTGTTAAAAGGAACAAGACCCTCCTGCCCGGGGCCTCGGTGAGGATGGGCAGTGCGTTGGGGACTAGAACTGAGTCTTGTTCCTCTGGCTGTCTCCCCAACACCTGTGCGGGGTCTCAACCAGGGGCAGCTCAGAGGATTCTTGTGGAATTGCTGGTAGAGAGATCAGAGACCTGCAGGACTTTCCGAAGCCACGGAGAGCCCCCTCCTCCACCGTCTCCACTGTCAGCAGACCGCCTGAGGATGTTCAGGCCATTTTCTCCTGTTGTCACAAGCTCCCCCCTCCTCACTGGCTCAGGCAGGAGCTTGAACTCTATCATGGATCCAGCTCTGGTGGGACAATTCCCAGCTGAGACCACCCAGGGCTTCCTACCTTCATTGCCAGGGCGATCAAGGCACCCTCCGTGGGCTGTCCCGACACAGCGTTGTTTCTGATGATCGCGTTGTTGGCGACACAGCCCGCCTGAAAGGGAGTTTTTTCCAAATATCTGTAGTTAGTCCTGGGAGCCACATCCTTCAGAGCTCTGGGCCCAGGCAGGTGGGAGATATAGACACTGCAGGCCTGACCAAGTTTTAGAGCTGGGGCTCAGGAGTCGGGGGGACAAAACTTTTAAAAATAAATCAGCATCCTGGCTCCTCAAAAGAAACACTATGCTCAGTGCTGGTTGCCACAAGGCTATCACAAGGGGGTATGGCGGGAAGGCAGGTAGCCTGGTGGTTAGACTGGGGTGACAGGGAGTGACTACTAAGGGGATGGGATTTCCATTTGGGGTGACAAAGTGTTCTAGAATTAGGTAGTGGTGATGGCTGCACAACTTTGTGAATGTACTAAAGCTGCTGAATTGCATGCTTAAAAAAGGGCGAATTCTGGGTATAAGACATGTCTCAGTTGATAGATAAATCTTTAGAAAATGGAACATAGCAACAAATGAACAAAAACAGTGTGGCGACTCCAGCTCTCCGCTTCCTGGCTGGGTGAGCTTGGGCTCTCCTGTCACTTCTTGGAGCCCCCGTTTCTGAACCTGCAGAACTGAGATCAGGTCTCTGTGACACTGAGGTGGCACCCTGGAGTAGAGGACTGCGGGGCGGGTGCTCACTGACCACGGGGGAGGAGGCAGCTCAGCTGGGACTCATGAGACATCTTTAGAAAATGGAACATAGCAACAAATGAACAAAAACAGTGTGGCGACTCCAGCTCTCCGCTTCCTGGCTGGGTGAGCTTGGGCTCTCCTGTCACTTCTTGGAGCCCCCGTTTCTGAACCTGCAGAACTGAGATCAGGTCTCTGTGACACTGAGGTGGCACCCTGGAGTAGAGGACTGCGGGGTGGGTGCTCACTGACCACGGGGGAGGAGGCAGCTCAGCTGGGACTCATGAGATGCCCGCTGTGGGGGAGAAGCGAGCAGATGGGAGAGGCCGAGCACAGCGAGGTGGTGTGCTCACAGCAGCAGTGGGCCGTGTCCACCACGCTATTTCCCAACGTTCATTGGGCACCTCCCTGTGCAGGTACCTCTGCAGAGCCTTCCCAGCAGGCGGCGGTGAATCCAAAGGATTCTAGCTCTCCTTTGACCTCTGATGTTTTCATCTGTTTTGGGCCATCTTCCCAAGCCTGTGACAGCCTAAGCCTTGGGTGGCCCAGTTGTCTCCAAGAACCAGTTGGTCTGACAGCTGTCTCTCTTTTCAGAGAGAATCCCTGGAAGCCTGGTTTTAAATGTATATTTCCGCTGCAGTGCTCTGGACACTCACCTCCACTAATTTCCCCACTGAGATGTTGGAAAATCCCTTAATTACTTCCTTTGATGGTAAGAGACACACAGTTCCATTGCCGTTATACCCAACTCCACTGACCTGCAGAGCAAAGCAGAAGAAAGGATGTCACCAGAGTCAAAAATATTCTCCTCTGGTTGGCCCACAATTCCTGGGGATCCATCCCAAGGACATAATCCTAAATGCAGACAAGGCTTTAAGCATGAGTATATTCCCTGCAAGATTGTTCATTAATCAGAATACCTCACGAACCAACAAAGTACCATGCTTTAGTAAACTGCATCAACTTTATTCAGTGGGATGTTCTGCAGCCAGTACAAGTTATGGCTAAGAAAACTCAGTAATAGCACAGACGACTGCTTATATTCTAGAATGAAGGTGGGAAGATGTTTTCTTCCAGAGCCAGGTAGCAAATATTTTCACTTTTGCAGCCCACACAAGCTCTGCCGCAGAGACTCAACTGTGCCAGCAGCAACACGGGAACAGGTGGGTGTGGCAGTCTGCCAAGAAGACTGTGCCAGGAAAATTTAAAATATAACCACTGGACCCTGGCGATAATTTGCTGAATCCTTGCCCTGGAAAGTTTTGTGGAAAAAAAATCAGGGCACAAAATCGCATATTGAGAGGGCTCACCACAACTGTGGCAAACGAATGGGAGAGAGATTGAGCAATGGACTAACCGCGATTACTTTATTATGGGAGGTAATGGATAATTGCTGTCTAGCTTTTTAATTTTGTACTGTGCTTATTATTAGTAAACAATAAAAAAAATAAAGGAGGCTGCCTTAAATCAGTCATGTCTCTTGCTGTTGTTTGTAGCAAGGAGATTGTACAATAACCCCAATTTATTTCTTCCTTATTGTGTTCTGGACGACACCATGCGCTTTCTCTAGGAAGGAGAGGGTCTAGCAGGGCACACCTTTGTCTCAAGACTTGTAAATTCGTTTGGGACTTACCTTGGCATGGAGCCCATCAGACGTTACAAGCTGGGTCACTGTCATTTCGTTGGCAGTTAGAGTCCCTGTCTTATCAGAACAGATGACATTGCAGCAACCTGGTACAATAAAGCATCAGTTTATAGAAAGAAGGGGTCATCACCAACTCTTAGGCTTGTAAAACACCTAGGTCAAGTGACCTTGACACCCAAACCTCTGTTCAGTCCAATTTGTAAGAATTACATCAGCGGGAGTCCGTCACCTAAAGTCTCCACGATCGGTAACTTCTTCACAATGACCCGCTTCTTGGACATCCGCAGCACCCCCAGGACCAGCGTAACTGTGACAACGATGGGCAGACCCTCTGGAATGGCTGCCACAGCCAGGCTGGATGGAAAGGTCAAACAGGTCACCTTTAACACTCACTTAAGGACAATGTGAATCCCAACTGGGATTGGCAGTGCTTTTGCCTAGTGAAGCTTGTCTTTGGTGTCCCCAAAGTCCACGGTCTATTCTCCATTCCTAATCCCATGGTGCACCTGTCTCCTTCTTCAGCATTCACTGCCCTGAGCAGTCCCCCTGCAAACCCTGTTCTTGGGAAGGGACCCACTCCTATCAGCCATCCTCGCCCTAGTGTAAATGAGTCTGTTAGTTGTCTTGCCTCTTTATATGCTTTTGCATATAAATTATTCTCATTTGTTGGAGATAAAAGTCTTTGGGCTCCATGAAAGGAATTTTCAGAATCAGACAATAAGTGGGAAGTAGAATTTTTTGGTTCAAAGGGTTCTCTTAGGTCCCTTAAATTTCATTTTTCTTTAGTCTAGTAGTTTAGATACTTCCTGTAAGGAAGTCAGACAAGAAAATTAATTAAAGTTGAAGGAGATGAAATGGCACAGCTATGCCTTTTGCTTATGGAGTCGACCTATTTTGGGGTGTCTGCTTGCTTCTTTATTACCCCTGCATCTCTTTCTTACCATGTAACCACCCCCCTGCAGCCATGATTGACTGGGTTAGAAGAGACCACGTGACCCATGCTGAGCTGGCAAGATTCTCCCTTGGGAATGTGAATTGGGATTGAGGCACACAGATGCTCCTTGCTATGGGTGTGCCAACAGGTGATGGGATGTTACGAGGGGACTCTTTCTGCCTTAGTTTTGGCTGAGGCTCCACAACATTGGGGCCAACTGACCCCACACTCTGCACTCCTCAAGTGGTGGACTGGCATGATGCCTGGCATCTGCTTGGTGATAGTCAGGAGTGGGGCACAGACAAAGCAAGACTGGATGGGAGCTGATCGCTGTTGAAGCCAGGTAGCAGCTACGCAGGTACTATTCTCTTGACTTCTATATATGCTTGAAAGTTTCCTTTAAAACATTTAGCAACAAGGGCCGGCCCGGTGGCGCACTGGATAGTGCGCTGCTTAGGAAGCGCGGCTGGCGCTCCCGTCCGAGGGTTCGGATCCCACATACAGACCGGCTCCCGCTCACTGGCTGAGCGAGGCGCGGGAGCAACACCGAGGTTTGCAATCCCGTTGCCGTCCCCGGTCCGGTACGGGGGCAACACTGAGGGTTGCGATCCGTTGCCAGACACGGAAAAAAGACA